GTTATTCTTAAATACCCTGTCTCTAGGAGTTTGTTCATTTTTCTGTGCATGAGACATGGTGTTTGGAATTGTCTAATTTGGCACCAAATGGGCCCCCAACGGTACCAAATATATTTTGGCGACTACCTACTTTAGCGTCGCCAGGGACCGACGCAAAAACGCTCTGTCATTTTATGCGTTATTGGGTCGGGCTGTGGTTGAACCATCTGATGAGTGGAGTTTGTCGCAATATTTAATTTTGCCAGACGTTTAACCAAGGTCCTTTTACGCACCACACGGTATGGCATACATGAGTGTTCATCCGTTGAAACTTCGCCACGCCAGCAGTTTGAACCCACACACGTGAGTTGAGGAAACCAGTTTGGTAATCCCCATATGACATGGCTTTGTGGTTTCCACTATCACGCCACCTCCTTGTGTTTAGCAAAATCGAAATTGCATTCCATGCGATAAAATCTCACCTTCTTATCGAGAATATCCTTACCCACCCAGAATATTGAGCGGGCTTTGTGTTTCTGTCCCCTATCGTTTTGGCCTAGTCGCAACTCTACCGATGCGGTACCATTGGGTTGGCAAGACGTCCAGAGCTATTTGACGTAGTTGAGAGTGAAGGCCCCCCCTCTCGCGTCCCTTGTTCGAAACGAGGTTGCTGACCCGCGGGCGGAAGGCATTTCGAGATTCACAGAGCCCACGTTACATTAAACGGCCCCGCCGTCGCTTGCTGTAAACATTACTCCAGCCATTGAACATAAAGTTCCTCGAAGGCCGGTCCGCTGCGCGCGGCGCTGGCGGAGGCGGGTACTCCCCGAGACACAGCGCCGGCGCACGCCGCTCCACGCACTGCTCGAGCTCGGCGGACGTCACTGTGGTGGCGTTCAAGCTCCCGATTGCGTCAAACTGTCAACAGGGGCACAGTGGGATAAAGCCAGGGGCAGTATAGTTTCCGATCCAATAGTGCAGGGTTGGAGAATCTAGGGGTTCAGTTTTGTTTTCTCTCTTTAGAGCGATGTGGGGCTAAATGCTCAGACGTCTGGTTCGTCATGCGCGCGCGCGTTTGTGGCTGAGTGTGCTGGAGCTCTTAATTGGCCAGAGTTCATGGACTCTGGTCGCTAGATGCCATTTCATAGTAAGGCGGGCGTTGTCCGGTCTTCCCACCCGTCCTGCTCACCCTGCGCATCTTAGCCCCCACGCGCTTCATTCCATCGCTGCCCCATCAGGCCTGCCAGCGCGCCTTACGCCGCTCTATTCCTCTCTCTTGTGCCTCGTAGGACCTCTCCTAGCTAATTTCTCCCTTCTTTACCTTACCATTCCACGAGTGCCAAAAGAGCCCACTCTACTCCACCTTCCTTTCACCTCCCATTGAGGTCTTCATAAATTCTTTCTGCTTTCGAGAAGGGCCCCATCCTGACTACATATGGCTCTTCTGAAATCCTTTTTTCTTGACTTCGTTCCTCATACTTTGAAGTTGATGCTCTACTTACTGTTGTTTTCTGAATCCCCGACTTGTCAACTGTGCAATTGAGTCTGTTCGTTAATACGTTTTTCACCTAATTTTAAACTTGTAGAATTAAAATGCAAAATTTATCCATGTTGCATGTGCTCTGACCCTAGACGAGGGCCAATTAACCCGATAACACCCGATTTCCATATTCCTCGACCGCCATATTTGTTTTTTCATCCCATCTCATATTACGAGAGTTTCTCGCATCCCAGCTGTTGGGACAACAGCCCGACCGCCCGACCCCGCTCGTTCTTCCATCTGACACCCGGCCCCGCGCCTCAGGGCCCCTCTCCCCCCGCAGCACCCCACTCCGCCCCACCTCGGCTCCCAGCGCAGCCCATCTCGCTCCGTCCCTCGCGCCCGCGAGTATCGCGTTCGCGGGGCGGCGGCCGGGCGCCGGCGGCCATGCAAACAGGCCCTGACATCATCCGTACAAACAGCGCCGGGATCTTGCCCAACGCGAGGGAAACGACTGCCGCCCCGCCCCGCCCCCGCGCCGAGCGGGCACGCTTTCTCTCCCTTGCTGCTCTGTGACACGGAGGGGGCGACGCGGGTCTACGCCGATACGAATCTTCTAAATCCTACTCTCCCTTTTAAAATTTTGTCTGCAGATTTGTGGGAAGAGCAGAAATGGTTGATAATGTAGTTTTCACAAAAACACGCGGATTCAAAGGTGTTAACAAAATTTTAAAAATTAATAATCAATGTAAATTCAGTGAGAATGAATTCTTGTACGTGCTGCTTGGAAAAGCACATAACTCAATGGTTTCCTTACAAATGCTGTGACCTGGTTCCTTGCATTCTCGGGAGTGTTTAAAATATGTCGCATTTGTCGACTGTGAAAACTGTTCCGTTGTCGCTGCACAAGTGAGGGCAAATATTACATCTTATCTGTACAGCTGCAAATCCTATTTATATCATAATACCGTGAGATGTTATTGTCACAAAAAAGTGATGAACATGAGTAAGTGAGTCTATTTACATGTTCTTTCGGCTGTAGTGCGGCTTAGTAACTGCCTTAGGGGGCTGGCAGCAGACGTACAGCCATATTTCTCTGATATTAATTTGACAGTAAAATCGGTGGAATGTTTTCACGATGGAAAAACAGTTCACTTAATATAAATTAATTGAAAAATGAAATGATAGCCACAAGCAGCTTATGGATCTATGTGAGTAATGAACGAGTTCTCGTGTCTCCCTTTTTCCGCATTTTGGTAAGGGGGGGGTGAAATGTCGCGTTTAGTACGAGACGTAGCCTGTTAGTTGAACAGAGCGAAAGCGCGTTTCGAGAAGGGCTGAGAGCCCGGGAGGGGAGACGTCCCCGGTGTCAACTGCAGTGGGAAACGTCTCCTGGGCCTCGGAAGTTGCGTCAAGAGCGCTTCTCGCGGCCGCCCTGCTGCCACGTCTTGGCCCTGCTTCCGGCGCCCCCCAGCGGTCGTTTGCCGCTGGAAAGGAGGGAGATGCAAAATGCTTTAAAGAAGTCGCCAGGATTCGCTAGGAATATTTTGCTCACGTCGTATTTGCAGAAAAGTTCAGTACGGTGCTGTCGGTGCACTGGAAAAATGATAATCTCGAAACATTTGTTTACAGGATAACGCTTTTTTAAAATCTGAATGGAGCTGTTTACTTCACAGACAAGAAATAAGTGTCTTGCTTTATACCTCAGATGTTTTGTGAACTATATTTACGAACTTTAATTGTAAAAATAAATTATTTTTAAATAGTTTTATTTATCAAATTATTTATTTCTGTTCATTGAGTGAAACCTATTACCAAAGTTTTCTTCATAATTCGAGGAACAAACAAATCCTGTAACCTCGGGAGCATCGATTACTGAAAGTGTTTTTTGTAAATTGAATGTGATGTTTGTAACTTCGTCGAAACCTGCATGTCACCGGAGCTTTGCGCGCGTTCCCAATACGCGAAGCGATGTGTAGACTCGGGAGTCATTTGATGTCTAATGGCCTGGTGCGATCGCAGGGACGAGCTTTTGTGTTTGCACCCCGATTCCGCAGAACACAATGTTTTCGACTTTCTCGTTTGTATCAGAAAACGTAATGTTTTTGGCTACACAGAAATATTCTCAGTGCTTATTTTCACTCTAAGCACAACCTTGTGGACGTTATACGAGGGGAGAAATCGGGTAGAAACTGCAGTTCAGTAACGAAGCGATTCTCGGCAAGACTACGTAAGAAACATTTGTTCTTGTAGTGGAGAAGGCGGTGGTATGTGTTTTCCTTTCTCTCCTATTCTGTACTTACGTTGTAAATATTAAGTTTTGTAATTCTGCAACGAGAAGTGATTTTACGACTCCTATTTGTATTAAATGACATCCTATAATTCGTTGATTAGTTAGTAGTTGTTTTGTGGGTCCTTGATTCTGGACATTCGATTTACGGCAAAATATCTATATCCGTCTTCTGCCTGGCTGTGGGTGCACTACTTGCCTAAACCGTTTTGACGATTTTCTACAAACTTGACTTTCCCTAATCGATCTAGCCGAACTCGAGGACCTCCGAATTTCAGACAGCTAGTTTAATTTTTGGAACAACGTGACATGACCGTTTAACTTTTCCAAAAATCGTCTCCCAGACTTAAATTAATTCTTTTCTGAATAGAACAAAGTAGGCTTAAGTATGTCGTATATCTCAGTTTTCTTGAACTCGAACTTCTGAAATTTTCGAAATTTTAAACATTTTTTCGGCGTCTGTCCCAAACTGCAATAGTGAAGACAGAAACAAAATTTCTTTAAGGCTATCTTGAAATAACGTTAATGAAAATGACAGAATTTTTTGAAATAGCAAACGCTTAAGTGCAACTTTGAATTTAAAGCATCGGGCAAGATGAATTGAGCTTGGTAGGCTGGTTGGTGAGGCTGGTGGTGTTGGGGGTAACGTCAATAGTATGCTCAATCTAAGAAACCGAGTTCCAATCCCAGCTTGAACAAAATTGTTGGGTGCTTGGAAACACGAAGGTTGAAGTATGCGATAAATGCAAGAAATATGTGCTATTAGACACGAGTAGTTGCCTTCTGCAAAGACTCGCAATTCATTTCTTCACTGAAGTCAAAGTGATCTTTTAGAAGGATCTTTTTCTGTACATCGAGGTTATTTACCTTGGTTGTAAAAAGGTGGTACCACACTTCACAAACAATGCACGTATTACTAGTTATTGATCAGCTCTCGCAAATGTATGTCAAAATGTTTGGGTCCTTAAATTACAATTTCTGTGTTATAACATTGAGGTTACCAGGTCTTCTGCGCTGTACTCTCTTTATCACCCACCCACTGTTTGTTCGTTAATCGTTCCTCGTGTGTGTTCCAGCAAACCGCAGTTACTGCGCACCTCAGACGACTACGACAATCTAACCGCAAGTGTAACCACGACGCAACCACAACATCCTCTTCCCGCATCGAATCCAGTTCCTCTGCACTTCTTGTGAGAATGCACTTGCTTCTTTCGAATGCCCTATCTCGTCCGGAGCAGCGATGCGCGAAGGAACACACAGTGACGGATGCGACGAGGCTCAGGTAAAATTCAGCATTTTTACTTTCCTGCTCATCGTTTGTACGACTTTTTTGAGTCAATAGTTTCACGCATACATTTCGAATAGAAACAGTTTTGTGCAAATAAAAGTGTGCAAATCAATAAACAATTTTCGAGTACTGTTTACATTATTGCTAGTTGCTTAGATTTTTTCTTCTAAGAATAAGGTTCTGAAGTAGACTTTTGATTCGGACTGCTGTACTAAGTTGTAAGAGTTAGTTGCCCCGAATGAACTAGTAGTATCAATTAACAACTTCCGGTAAACAGTTTCTGGGATCTTGACAGTTTTTTCAAAAATTGTTAGGTGTTTTCCCATGTTTTTTTTCTTCGTATATTTATTTATTGACTATTTATTCATGTCTAATGAATATTGACAGGAAACCTACCCCCAAAAGCATTTTCGTGCCGTATCGATTTCGTTTGAGTCTCGTGGGGATTCCGCAGCCTGTGAGCTTCCCGCACACCGGAGTGAGAGGCTCCGCGCGGATGCACTGCTTCTGCGACCGCAAGCGAAGGCCTCGGAAGGGCGCAGCGCGCGGGGCGACCGCGGCCGAGTAGGGCCGGTGCGGCGCCTGTCTTCCTGTCGGCGCCCACGTGCACCGCGCGGCTATTTTCAACCCTCGCTGGCGGGCGCGGAGGGCGAAATGTAAATATGCGCCACCTGCCGAAGAGCAGAATGCTGTTCACATGAGCAGCCACGAGGCCGCTGGTTTCGACCCGACCGCGTTTTCTTCTTTTGGCGCTATGCCATTAGTGTTTCTTTGCGTTTTCTAGTATTTCCAGGAGTAGGACTAAAATTATTTATGTCTTAAATGGGTATGCTTAGTATTCCAACTATTAAATGTGCATTTTTACTTTATCGTTACGTACGTATACAGGGTTCAGTTTGTTGCTAGCACAACGACGCGCAAGTGACGGATAAAGAAATGCACTGACGTCGTAGTCACGAGTCACGTCATCAACGACCTGCTTCCATTCTCTTACGAGTACTCTGCGAATCACCGAAATCCGCTGTTGTTCACTGAGGTGAACCTTGCGTAAAAAAGTCTAACATAATTGAAACTGAAAATTGTGAAAGTTGTGGTATTCTTAAGATGGAAATGGAAACAAATACATTTTTAGTCAATCCTTTTTACATTGTGGGAATAATGGTCATGAAACAGATAATAAATTAGCAAAAGAAATGCAAACAATATTTACGTACAAATGTAAATTACATGACTTGAGTATGCATAAAATGTCTGGGACATATAAGAATTAGAGCTCTTTGCTTATATGAAAGCATAGTGTTTGAATCAACCATGAGGATATCTTGCTTTCTTCCGTATCCTCCAGATAACACAACTTTCCTGCATCTTTGCATTGCAAAACGTACGAATATGTTCGAAGTGACCTCCATTCATGTAACTGCACGTCACTGCCCGAGCAGCGATACTTTTGTCGTTAACTTCATTGAATCTTGTCACTGCAGTGCTGCACACGGCCAGCCTCGTTTTCTACATTGCAAACTCAAAACTCTTCCGAGAAAATGAGCTGAACATTGCGACAAGCAACTGAGCGTGAGTTGTGTGGAATTGGGGATCTGGGTTCCTTCGCGCAGATCAATGGTGCAAGCACAGCGAAAGGCCCTGATAGGTCTTTTGGGCGCTGATAGACAGCAGATGGGGGGGGGGTGAAAGAAAACCCAGACTCAAGGATGTAGGAAACTAAATTATACGAGAAAGAATGTGCTGTTTTGTAACTCCACTAAATTTATGATTTGGTATATGTCTCATTTTGTTTATATCAGAAGAGTAACACATCCGTTTATGCTTACTTTCCCCTTAATTAATGATATTCCTTCTTGGATAATAATTATAATAGTAATTGTAATAGTAAAAAAGTAGAACCTAGTTTTTCCCAGTGAACACAATATTTCAGAAGGAGTGAAATACGTGTTTGTTTATGTGGGCTGTTAAAACAAGAGCCTTAGTGCAGTTAATCGAGCAGAACAGTTTTGCAGTCTCCTTCGCGTGGCTTGCCTTGGAGAGTTTTGGCGAAGGTTGCGAGCTGTTTCTGCTTCCCTTTGAGCTGTGATTGAAAGGCGGAAACGTTGATGTTGGAAGATGGCCTGTTGTGATTTCACCTTTATTTTATTTTCTTTAATGCTTCTTGTTCACTTCAGTTTTGTAAAAATCTCACGCATCTACTATCAAGAAGAGTTACGACTTGTGGATCTAAACTATCTATCTAAAATCTCAGTAAGAGATGATAAAAACTATTATATTATTGACATGTGTCTTCTCCCTCAGTGGTCAGTGTGTACACCAAATTGCAAAAAAGTACCGGAAAGTCTTAAAATTAGGAGAAGTAGAATGAACTGCAAGTTAGAAAATACATCGAAGACAAAAGGTAAATTAAAAACCGGCTCTGAGATTGATTACTTTATGAATAGGGATTATATTTATATAATCATCTCATGATTATGCTGTTGGAAAACTACTGCGAGAACGAATTGGCGTTGATAAACAGTGAAATCTGCCGGGGTCCGCCAATACGAAAAACTCGAATATAACTGGACGGAAGGGCGAGTGGCCAGGTTGTATATGAATGCGTAGGTAAACTTTTGGGTATTTTGCGCCGTTCCGCAGGGAAAAGAAGGCCCTCGGCTGCAGCGTGGTGGAGCAAAGAATGAGGCGGGGCTGTGCCCGTCGGCCGCTGGCGCGGCTCCCGCTGGGCCGGGCCGGGCCGGGCCGGGGAAGTGGGGCGCGCCCCGGGTGTTGTGGCGCGGCCGCCTCCCGTGCCAGCGCCGCCGCCGCCGCCACTGCGGGACAATATTTAGGGCGCGGCTGCTGCGCGCGTGTCGCAGCGGTCTATAAACATCATCGCCAGCGCGAGGAGAGCAAATGGGAGCTTTTGTGACAATGCGTTGGCCTATCGCTTCTCTGCTCTATCTTTTCTTTTTTTCTTAGCACTGGAGATTTTCTTAGCACTGGTACATTTACACTAACCGGACTTTATTATGGTATCTAACATTTCTGCCAAGTTGTAATCGCACATTTATCTTTGCAGAGAATTTTTAGCTATTCACTTATTTCTTTCAGCTGATCATTAACAAGGAAGTAATTGCTGGTGATGTTTTCACACAACTTGGAAGCAGAGTAAGTTAGTAAACTTAGCTTTTGATTTACGTGAAATTTTGGAACGTAGGAAAATATACGAAGATACTAACATTACTAGGAGGATATGATTGACTTTCTAAAAAATGAAAATTTTTTACCCCATGGAAGTTTGTCTAAACATTTGTCATGGACATCAATGCAAAAACTGTCCAAGTTTTTTTTTTGTTGCAACGTATACACAATCTGGTTCTTTTATTTTAACTTTTTTACTTTTACATGGGCACATTGGAAATAAGTTTCGTTTTACTATTTATTGTCTTAATTTTTACTCCACTTTACGAATTGCGCAATCATCATCTGCAGATGAGAACATATTTCACACTATTGAAATCGGCTTTGGAAAACACTGCGTAATAGCAACGTATTGTCGAGATATGTTGACACTATCTGAATAATATCTGTTTGTGAGTGTTTGTATTTCCACCTGTGGCTTTAGGTTTCCTTTACTTTTAAATTTAAAGAAATGATTCTCTGATTTGGGGCTTGCAAGGCTCTGATAGCAGGGTCTGGCCGTTTGCCGGATTGTGTCACAAGAGCTTGTATTTAAGTGGCCGTCCGGAAAGTAAAGGAGAAGTTGAGCCGTTTGCCTAAGCTCGGCCATTCCGCCACGTCGCAGCGGGCGGAGGCGCCGTCGTCGCCACGGGCGTCTGATGCTGCGCCATTCATGAGGTGAGGCGCCCCCGGCCGGACCTTGAATCTAACGGGCCGCCGCGCCGCGCACATTCCTCGCGCCTCCGCCTCCGCCCCCCCCCCCCCCGGCGGGTTTTCGTTTACGCGATGCCCTCTGTCGTCTCTCTGCTGCGACGCCGCCCCCGCCACTTTCATCGTCGGGTATTTTGGCCGTCGCCGTCGCCCCTTGCGGGTTGGCTCTCCTGCGGCCGTCGCCTCTGCGGACGGGGCCACCTGCGCCGATTGTGCCTCTGTCTTCGTCGCTTCCTTCTGTGCGTCTCCTTGTCCTCTGGCCTCACCTCTGCCGCAGCCATCACCTCCCTTGTTTATTTTCAACCGCCGGCCTCCCACACGCCTCGCACATGTGCTCCTGCCCCGGAGGCCGGCGGTGTGTGCCGACTCCCTCGCCTCTTCTCCCGAGCGTTGCTTCTGCGCGTCCCCAGCGCTGGAGCAGGAAGCGGCCTTCCGCCGGCGCTTCTGCTTCCGCTTCCGCCCTCAAGCGGGCGAAGGACCTCTGCCAGCTGCGAGAGCGCGCCTTGTTGCGACAGGCCGCCGGCCGTTTATACATACGGCGAGATGCTTTCTAGCGCCCGCACTCCCAGCGCCAAGCGCTCTTGGGCCTGGCGCCTCTGACTCGGAGGGGCCGCTTCATAAACACGTTCAATGTGGAAAAAGGGAGGACGAGGCTGCACGAAAGCGGTTTGACCTAGACCTCGCAGGCGCCTTGCACAGAGCTATAAAATGTCTTGTTGAATGGTTTTAATAAAACGGCCGCGTTTCTGTGTCATTGAACATATAATATACGTATTTAATTTCATGAACTTTACTAAAATCTTAAAAAAATAATTAATTTGAACAGTATTTTTTGAATTGAAAAAAAAATAGTACAGGAAATGTATGTGGCTCATGGCGATATTATAACTGCACGTTAATCAAGGTTTTACTTGTTTACCTTTATCCGTTTATTAATAATAAAACATTTAAGATATTTTAAGATGAAGTAGGATCCCTTCTTTTTCTTCTTATTGTCACAGATTGCTTTTATTTCTTCTAATAATATTAACCGTATTAACTTAGGGGAGATATCCTGCATTATGCCAATGCGATCTGCATTATTCAACATTTCCACAGCACGTGCAAAATGCAAAACCATA